GATTATAGGCAAATGTTGTTTACAAACTGTCCTCATGGTATATAGAATTGCTGGTATTACGTAGCTGTTCACTGTGACGTTGAAACTGTCTGTTGGAACTGGACCTTTTAAAAAGAAATCTGTGTGGCAAACATCCCAATATCAGAAAATAAAGTCAATTCTTCTGTGAGGCAGTTCCTATTATCTTTCCACTTTGATAAATTATTTTCAGTTCAATTGTATTACCATGGTGATGTGTTTGCATTTCAATAAAACCCAAACCAAACCAGACCAAAAGTAGAGCTCTGCACATGTAGCTCCTGTCCTAGGGTTTTTATGCAGTGTCCTTATCATTAAATAACCTCTCCAAGGTCCCAGCTAAAAATCACATCAGAGAAGCAGTTTCCTCAGACAGACACAACAATCTGGATTGCTAATCTCAGAATTCTAAGAAATCACATAGAAGTGAAAAGGAGAATGGACATTAGAGGGGCAAAAATGAAATAAAGAACCAGCCCACAAATGAATAGAAATATACTCATTCTCTAAAATAAGATTGTGGAAGCAAGCAAACTCAGTGAGGGCATTTTGCTTAATGAGATTTGGCTGTGTGGTTTAGTCCTCTGAGGTCTGAAACAAGTAAACACTTCTAGGAGTGTGAGCACGTATATCCCTCTCTCAGAGGAGAGCTCTTTGAGCTGGCTCTCCTGCTCTCTGTTTGTGAAGTTTGTTTCGCTCTTTGGAATAATTGCACATAGAGTCGTGACAACAGAATGAACTCTACAGGAGGTGAATTTTGAGTTCTTAGAAAATTCCTGCAGTTAGTGCCAATCCGGAGGCAGGAAATCATTTTGCATAATGATATTTGCATAAGAAGGAAAGAACACATCGTTTATTCTAATCAACAAAGTGTGAAAACAAGATTTGGACAGATGTGCGCAACCATCCTGTCCCTCCTGCCTAAATATTGTATTGAACCATCTCTTCCTAGATAACAGTTTTGTTAGCCCAGGAACACATTAGCTCAGTCAGATCTGGGCTTTCACAGAGCTTTTTGCTAGCTGCTCTGCTTCCTGGTAAATAAGCAGTGTGATTTTGCTTAGCAACCCCTCTCTGGAAAGACAGCACACTTCTGTACGTGGCGTGGCGGAGAGAAGGGGGAGGTGAGGGGAGGGCAAGGAAAGTGAGGTATGTGCCTCTCTCCAGCTGGTTCCTGACATTGCAGACATTATCTACAATTCTTGGCAATCTTGGAAGGATGACGAAGAACTAGGGGGAAATTCATGGAAAGGCAGAGTTTTCAAGATTGTGGGCTGAGACTGTCTGAGAACTGAACCTAGAGCCAACACAGAAGAATCAAGAGAGAATGAGGACCTTTTTCTCATTAACAGTGAGGTAATTATATGAGATAATGTATCCAGGAAGCGACAACTAACTGCAACTTCCTGAAGCTACATGAAGATTATCTTAAGCCAGACACGAGGGAGCATTCCTCAGTAGCTAAGGGTGATATTAAATCTGGGACTGTCCACATCTGAGAAAACATTTGAAGTTCTACATCAAAGATAATCATTAACAGTCCCTGAGCACTTAGCAGTGTGCAACACTTTTACAGACATATTTAATCTTCCAAACAACCCTGTGAGGTGGATTCTTGATGTCCATGTCATAAAGGAAGAAATCGATGCACAGAGAGGTTGAGAAACTTGCCTGAGGTCACCCAGCCATATAGCAGTGGGGATGGGTTGTGTCTCAGGCTGTCTAACCTTGGACTCCACATTCCTAAACACCCTTTTGCAAGTGGTAGTGCACAGTTGTGGGGCTAATGGGGATAAGAAGCCCAAAGATCACTGGATGACGTGTAAGATGGTTTGTGGTTCCATCTGGAAAAGGTGTTCAGTTAAGGTAACTGTTTTTGTTCTGTTTTAATATCTAGAGGGCAGCAAAAACATGGGTATCCAGAATAATGTATATTGCTAAAACTTTATGTCCACATCTCTTCCTTTTATAGTGAAGTATGGGTATACACGTTTCTGTACACATATGTGCGTGCGCGCGCGCGCACACACACACACACACACACACACACACACACGACACTTGACTTCTTAAGTCCTGAAAATACCCCCATGATTGAATTCTCCAAGCATTCACTGAACATCACCCTAGGATGTCTGAAAGAAGAAGCCGAGGTTTGCCTCGGGCGGTGAGGTGAGTGGTGGTGAAATGTTTACCTTGCCAATAAACTCTCCAACAGATAACCCATTTTAGATACCATTATTTCTCCTTTGTTACATAGCTCCCTCCCTGCCACCAGACAAATCCTGTCCTGTGCTGCCGTCCTTTCCGCCCACCTCAGGGAGCCCAGGAATGTCTCCAACTCTCTTCGTACTTGCAAGCCCTCCTTTGCCAACCTCAGCCTCATTTGGATTACAGTTGTGTTCACATCCTAATTTATGACTTAACAAGTGTCTCACAAACATTTAATTTCATTATACATCTGAGGAGGACAGTTTAGAGAGGAGGGGCAGAATGATGTTCCCCCTGCCAGCAATTAGATTAATATAATGTGATCTATGGTGAAATCTCCTTTTGGGCTTTGGATTTTTATACATGTGTATAAACAAAACTAGGCTAGTAATAAATAAGTTCCTGGATTCTCAGAGGGGCTCCACTCCCCTCACCAGGTCCTGCTCTAATATTCAGTCTGGAAATTCATGGGATGGGTAAGACATTCCCATGGCTCTCAAGTGACTCATCTTGTCACGATACTTTCATGAAAAAAAAAAACAAAAAAACAAAAACCTGGAATTTTCATTTGCAGTTTCAGCAATATCAGTAAATTATAATTTTTTTTTTTTTTTTTTTTTGCAGATGGCTTTTCTGAGGAGATGAGGAGGGGACTATATAAAAGCAAGGATCAAATAATTTTTCCCTGTTCCCACTTTATATACTCAGTGCCCTTTTGGGAGTTGGAGCACATGACTGCTTTTCATAAAGAAGGATTGTATTTCCTTAGGTTTTCCTGTGCATTTTTAGGGAATATATTGATCTCAGAACAGGGGTGTACATAGTGCTGATTTAAGATTCATGCAAATAAATGTTCTCCACTATACTTGTTCTTTTTTTAAAAATTTTTATTTATTTGACAGACAGAGATCACAAGTATGCAGAGCGGCAGGCAGGGGGACGGGGGAAACAGGCTCCCTGCTGTCCACCATACTTGCTCTTATTTGTTGAACTAAGTCCTCCATTTTGTCTTGTTGAACATACCTGGGACTGGGACCCCAGGCAGGTGGGGCTGAATGTTTCTGGGAGTAGAGCGGATAGCCCTCCCACATCCCTAGAACTTTCCAATAAAGAGGCTGCACCGACTTTTCTCCCACAGTCAAGGGGGAGAGGATAGAAAGCCTAGTCATCTTCTTGACCGGCATTTCCACGGTTGATCCAAGTGGTTGACCTTAGAAGGCTCTCTCTTGACCAGCTCTGTCCTGGGGATACAGCCAGAGATGTTACTGCTTATGACCGAAGCTTAGGAATTCCTGGACAGATCACACAGTAAACAACTTTTTATTTCCAGTCTTCCTTTCCAGGAGGGAAGCAGGATGGCCTGTTGTTCTTCATGGGGGTTAGTCTGGTTGATTTTGTTAGAGGGGGGCAGGTGGGAGCGGGACTCTGGCGACTTTGTGTGAGCTGGGAAATTGTTGAGTAACTTGAAGTCTGGTTCCATCAGTAAGCACTGGACTGGGAATTAATCACATCAGAATTACAATCTTGGCTTTGTCTCTAATTAGCAAAATCATTTTATGCTAGTCCCTCAACCCCTCTTGGCTTCTGTTGAGTATATGAATGCAAAGTTCTCTCTGTGCTCTGAGGTTCTCTGTCTTCTAATTTACCAGAAGGCAATGAATAGAAAACAGAGCACGTGATAAATGTTTCCTATATCCAGTGCCCTCCATGTGGTGTATTTTTGCAGAAAATCAATCTAGGTGATGGAGAAAGACCCATGCATTCTGATGTGTATGGTTTTGGTAGGGTTATGGTGCTGCGGCCCCCTGAGGACAATCTACATGCTGGTCCTGGGAGCTTTGAGAGGACCGTAAGTGTTATTCAGCTCAGAGGCCATGCCAGTGTTGTCCTGAGTTCATTCTAGGAGAATGCCAGTGATGCTCCTGGTCCACATCTGGACTCCACTGGCACCATTCCTTTGGGTAACATCTGTCTAATTCCCAATCTAAATGCTTTCCCCTCTTGACTGGCTCCTGCAGAAGCTCCTATCAATTTAAGCAGTAACCTGTCGGTCTGACTCAGACTCTTGTCTGTCCCTGGTGGATAACAGAGCACGAACGCACCGCAGCGCTGGCTCATGTGTGTTTTAAAAGAAAAGTATGTCGCGAGTGTACAGCTTCAACAGGGAAGGAGGGTGAAGAAGCTAGAGTCCATCTCAAATGCGTATGGGGGTGGCTGTTTTCTTGTCATCTGAACATTAGTCTGTTTAGTGTGTTTCAGGTCATCTGTGTTTTTGTTTTTGTTTTTGTTTTGTTTTGTTTCCAACACATTCCCTTTGATGCAAGAGAAACTAGGTGCAGAGTCCATCCCTACCACTGTAGAAAGAGCTCCAAACCTGTGCCCTCCTGGAGGAGGGTCAGTAACACCACGTGAAAATTGGTAGCAAGCCCTTCTTGGGGAATCATTGCGTTTGTACTAGTGAGAAAGTTAGAATTCGCATTTGGACTGTAGTCATGGAACCATACACGTGACATCCAAGGCATGATGGGTTTCTTGACCCGGGGTCCACGAACAGACTTCGTTGGGTCTGAGAACCACCTAGAGCCTCTGAAAACTTCTGTATGTGCATTTTTCTAGGAGAGGGTCCCCAGCCTTCATCACATTCTCCCAAAGCTGCTTATGACGGATGAAAGGTGAAAAGTCACCGGCATAAAACATTCTTCTTGTGCCTCCGTCTTCTGAACCCGGGGTGATAAAGCTGACTTGCCTGTCTTTCTCCTTTGCTTTCCCAGAAAAAGCAAGTGAGCCAGACCAAGATCCGGGTCATCTCAACCATCCTGTTCATCTTGGCCGGCTGCATTGTATTTGTGACGATCCCCGCTGTCATTTTCAAATATATCGAGGGATGGACCGCCTTGGAGTCCATTTACTTTGTCGTGGTCACCCTCACCACGGTGGGCTTTGGTGATTTTGTGGCAGGTAAGCACACTGGGCATCCCGGCCACCAGGGCCCTGGTGGGGAAAAGGCTCTGTTGATAATGCTTTTCAAAACCAAGAGAAACTGTGTTGTAGGAGAAGCAAATGAAAACGGCTCAGTGTCCCTACCGCTGTGCATGGACTCATTTCAAGCCCACGGCTCCACGTAATGTAAAAAGCAGCAGATTCTGCTGAGAAATGAAAGGCAGCGTCTTCTTCCCCAGGATGCTCATTGCCCTTATCGTCCTATGAATTATGCATGAGTGAAATGAATTTCTCATTGAATGTTGGACTTCTGATTTGCATTAAGGCTCCTTGAATCTATTGATAAAGGCTGTATTAGCAAGTGGCAAATATGAAACTCTGGAGCCATTAGCATAAAGCTTGGCCTGCAGCGACCTGTGGGTTAGGGTTCCTGAGGCTGCCCAGGGGAGGGTTGTGTTCCCTGCAGACATTATCCTGGGTCTTGCCCTGGCATAAGACTTAGGGCTCAGTTGACTACCAGGAGCTGAGAACTGTCCCAAGGGAGTACAATATTATAACGAATTCTGCACAAGTGTATATATAGAAACAATAGCCTTCATTGTGAACATAGATGACAATGAACTATGTTTATGGAAGCAAAAGGAAACCACCATCAATTTCGGCTAGGGACGGGGAGTTTGAAAATGAAATGCGATCTGGCTTCTTACCTGTATGGCTTTCCCAGAATGTGGTAGGAAGGCAGGAAGAGGAGGCATCCTTCTCTATCCTAAGGGATATTTCTAGGGGTTTAGATAATTGATTGTTTTCTAGTCTGATAAGTGAACACTTTAAGCAACTCTGTCCTAAACTCAAAATGTTTGGGTGATGGAAGTGCATTGTGTGTGTGTGTGTGTGTGTGTGTGTGTGTGTGTGTGTGCGTGTGCATGTGTGTGTGTTCTTGACCAGTTCCTGGTTAAGCAGCAGCCTGGACATTGCAGGCTGAGCTCGCAGACTTTATTTGGTACATGATCCTGACCGCTGCCTTGGTGTCTTCTTGGACTGCGGTGCTCACAAGGAGGATAGGGATCTGGAAATCTGGAAAACAGGACATTCTGGAGGGGATATTCAGGGCTCTTTGAAAGGCACATGGGTGTCTCCACATTTACCCTGATGGTGATAACCAGCAGGGTGGTCTTCTAGCTTCTAAGAAGACTAAAGTCCAGTTTGTAAAAATAGCAGTTTTTATTTTTTTTCTGTCCTTTTCACTGCCTAAGGACTGAGCACTTCAAAGTCAAAGTGATTAAAAAAGCCGGGGTTCTGGGACCCCACCCCAGTGCTCAGCCGCTGTGCTGCCCTTCACCTTGGGTGTGGAGCCGCCTGGGGCCGTCTCGAGCGGAGGCCTGCGGCTCTGGAGGGAAACCACAGAGAACTGTTGGGACTATTTCACAAACTCGTTCAAGTTCCCCCACAGCATAGTTTGCACTGGGTTGTGCTTCAAAGTGCCCTGTGCCAGCCCTAGGCCATCTGCTGCACTGTTAGGGGATGCTAGTGATGAGCCCTTCTCTCTAAACACCTGCTTGACTTGGCCTGTTAATCTGTTAATCTGGGGCACAAATAGAGCCTTGGGATACAGAATTTTAAAAATGCATTAATCAGCAAAGAGTTTAAATTTTTAATTTGAATTCAGGTTATTTGTTTAGATCTAATTATACAGTGTAAGGGCAGGGAAGTGTTTTACTAAAAAAATGCCATTTGACAATAACATAATTGAATATTTTAAATTTTAATGTTATACATTGTGATATTATAAAACAAAAACTATTATAGCCTATTCAAATTAAAATCAATATATAAAATATCTACCACCTGCTTTGGTTAACATTATTGAATCCAGGCCTTCACATTGATTGAAAAGTGATGATGAATCTGTAAAATAATAATACAAATTACATTTTATAAAACAGCATCGAATGAAGGATGAAAAAATAAAAAATAAAATAAAATGAGCCCCAGATTTAATGCACATAGATATTCTCGGTTGGCCTATGCGATGGAACTTAATTTACAGCTTTATTAAAAATGTCAGAAAAGCTAGCATTGATTTATTTGGATCTTAGATGAATATAGTTGGCCAACCTAAATGATTTTGCAACATTGGTTCTAAGTAAAAAAGTTGAAGATAACCCAGGGGAGAACACGTGTGGTTTATTTAACATTGTGACGTATGAATTCATAGGAAGTGGGTCCCTGCTCTTCATCATGGATGGGAGAGAAGCAAGGACATCCACGTTCCTTACCTCTTCACTCAGGGAGACCACACATGTTAGGGAGCACTGCCAGCTGGTGTGCTGCTCTTCCCTGGGAGGAGGGGCTGGGGGGGAGAAGCAAGGACAAAATGAGAGAGGATTCTGGTGCTTCATGGGGTACTGCCAATGATTTTAATTGATTATTTCTTCTTATTCTCCACCACAGATTGAGAGCACTTAGTAGTCACTGGTACTTGACCTTATCTTGACTTACCTAGCAAGGGCGTGACCTCCACAGTCACAGGCCTGGCCCCATTTTAATTCCCTTATTACAGAGCCTGATTTCTTTTGTCCTGAGGTCTCCATGGACAGGTGTCTCTTATAATCCACATTGCTGACTGCAATTAGACCAGGCCCTTGGAAGCTCGGGTTTCCGGAGCTTACGTAGATTGGTCTGAGGAATGCATGCCTTAAAAGGCTGGAAGTTTGTCACAACCTTTTGGGCTATACTCTAAGAGCAATGGGGAAGGATACCCGATCCTTTAAAAAAGGTACATTAACGAGAGCCGATGATTGCTGTGATTGGACATGGTATCAACCCTTCTAGAAATATAACTGGAACACTGATCACCATGCAGGATTAAGTGATGGTTTATTTTGTAGCCAACTCACGTTAGGACAGCCTAACATCACAGGATTTTGAAACCCTGATATAAAAAGCGAACACAGAGCTCTGAATTCCAGACAAGGAGTCCTTAAAGACGCCAAAGGGTGTTTGTTGTGTTGTTCGCTAGCGCCCCCTAGTGACAAGCCTTGTTGGGTGGTGGTGACTTGCTAAGTAAATATTTCCTCTTCGCCCCAAGTCCTAGCACAGGGAGGGAATGAACCACAAAAACCACTTATTGCGGCAGGAACTCCAGTAGAATCCTTGAGGAAGCTGCGGGGGAGAGTTACCTAAGAGGAAAAAAAAAACAAAAAAAAAAACCAAAGGCAGCTAAACTAGACCGAAGAGGTCTGGCCACACAACCCGTTGGTAATGTTTGGAATTCTAATTTTAAGAAATGGCAATGGCCTGGAGACATTGTGGGCTGCACGGAGAGGAGCCACAGGCCGCAGTGCTTGCCCAGCTGCCTTTGGGAGGTATTACTGATACCGTAAAAGCTCAGTGTGGATTCAGTGGTTCTAGAAGAGGTTATAACCACTACCCAGTGGGAAAGACTAGTAATCACTCATTACGGAACCCCCTCATTACCCATACATTGCCAATGTCGGTTGTCTTGGAAATGACCGTGGGCCTGCCTCAGTGAGCAATAGTGTCTCACACAGTGAAAGCCAGGCTGACATCAGTTACGTCCTCTCTTCTTTAGGAGAGGGGGCTGGGCTTGGAGGCTGCTTTGCATGGGTACCTTTGGCAGCGCCTTTAGGAGGGCTAGAATAAATAGGCTAATTATTTGCAATAAATGACTGGTCCTTTCAGCAGGACAGCCGGTCAATGCAATCGGGCAGCTGGCCAATTTGATTTGATGGATTTCTACTGTAATCCCTATGTATAAAATAGAGGGGTTGGACTAGCTGGCCTTTTAGTTCTGGCATGGTGATTCTAATTATTGAGCCTAATTGACCTTTCGGATTAGCATCATGTAAACACCATCCCTTAGTTAGCGTTAAATCACTACCACTGGATTAAAGTCTCAAGAATGCCATTAAGTCTAATTGTACTTCCACATATCCACTCTGCTCTTAGGAAATGCATGTATTAGGAAGGAAATTGTGCCAAGAAGTCCAAGACGTTGGGGATTACTGATCTTTTATTTTTATTGCATTTAAAGAAGTTTGGGAAGACTCTGGACAGCTAGGCCTGAGGTATTGTCCTCTAGCTGACGTCATTCACTGTCAAGCCCGGGTCGAGAAGAGCTGGACCAAGTTGGCCCCGGACATTACGGGTATTCGGTTAGTGGTAATTGTTGTGTGTAGAACGGTTAGTGGTCAAAAATCAGAGAAGTTAAGCCAAAGTCAGACTCCTTTAGGAAGGGATACATCTTTTCCTTGCCCTCCCTTCCTTCTAATACCTCTAACAGCTGAGTGTTAGATGGGGATGGGATGACGTCTCTGCTCCGTGGACCAGAATATGTTTGTTCTGCAAAGACCAAATGCTAGACCCTGGTTAAAGTAACGTTTTGTTGTTTTCAGGGGGAAATGCTGGCATCAATTACCGGGAGTGGTACAAGCCCCTGGTGTGGTTTTGGATCCTGGTTGGCCTTGCCTACTTTGCAGCTGTCCTCAGTATGATTGGAGATTGGCTACGGGTTCTATCCAAAAAGACAAAAGAAGAGGTAGGACCCCTTCTAAATTCTATAAATGTTTCTGAGATCAGATGAGCTCATGTCAAGAATACCTGTCTCTATTTTATGGGCTGGAGGGTTTCTTAATACATGGAGGGCCCCTATGGCTTCCTCTTTTTGAATCATTTCCTGAAAGCCAAGTTCAGTGGAATGGCAGTTATTTCTGGATCCTTTTCTGGCAGGTGAGAACATCTGATGACTCACCAGCCCATGGATCCTGGAAGGACTAATACACAACGACTTTTTTTTTATTATTTAAATTAAAAAAAAAATTTTTAGAGGGACAGAGAGAGAGAGAGAGATAGAGTGAGCATGAGGGGGAGGGGCAGAAAGAGAGAGCATCTCAAGCAGACTCCCCACTGAGTATGGAGCCCAACGTAGGGCTGGATCCCAGGACCCTGAGACTGTGACCTGAGCCAAAACCAAGAGTGGGACATTTAACTGAGCCACCCCCTTCCCACCCCCAGGTGCCCCAGAATGACTTATTTTTTAGGAAAATGAAAAGGGAAAAAGAAAAAAATAGCAATGGTCAGCAGGGGTAGACCATAGTTGAGGGAGATGTGCAGACATGTGGGAGAGGCTTAGAACGTCTATAAAAAGCTTGAGAAGGATGGGCCTGTCCTTCAGGTCATGGGGTCTATATGGAAATTCCGTAGAATACTAGGACTCCTTCCTGATTCTCTGAGACTGAAGTCCTCCCAACAGTGACCAGCAGTGGGGAAGCCAACACAAGGAGTCCCTTCTCACCATCACCCTCTCCTGGTTGTCAGATCTACAGAAACACATCTACCCCTATGTCCAAGGACATGCAACCTTTACTCCCTTGGGTAAATATGCGTGAAAACCTACACAAATGCAAGAAAAGGGAGAAGAGGGGAAGGTAGATTTTGTGATTAAAAAAAAAAAAAAAGTCCATGTAGTTCTTCTAGGAAGAGAGGAAAAGAACTGGAAAGGAGGGCAAGAGAAGAAAAAAAGAGCTAACAAGTGGAAGGGAGATTAAAAAGAAAAAAAACAAAAAGAGGGGGAGGCTCCTGAAAGGAGTGAAGCCTCCTACTCACTTCTCGGCAGACAGACATTCTGTACAGACGGCCCCAGGACAAAACTGCTGAATGGGAAATGTTCCCATCTCATTCCTGGGCCCCAGTGTTCATTTTTCTGGCTCACGGAAACACTGGCAATGCAATCCCATCAATGCCATCCTCAGTCTGATTCCCCAGATGGCTAACTGACCGGCTGAAAGTCAGCTGTAGTGAAAGAGAAAGTAACCGTGCAAATATCGACTTTCCTAAATGCAAAAATGCAGACTTGTGAATTCCTCGTCTATAGAGAAAAGCATGGGACTAGTACTGTTGGAAGTGCTGAAGGAGAGCCGAGAAAGGTATCAGTCTTCCTGCGTTCTAAGGAAGCATGGTCTGTGGGCTTTTGCAGAACATGACTAGAGAAGTTTGTTCCCAGGTGCCCCGGAGGGTCTTCTTAAGGCAGCGTAAGCCAGGTAGCACTCAACCATAGTGTGGCCCAGATTCAGGGTGAATAACACTCCCAGTTTGCCCAGGACTGCAGGGGTACCTAGGACAAGGGCGTCCTGTTCAACAACCAGGACAGTCCCAGTTCTGGGACTCGTTGGTCACCCTACCCAGACAGAAGCATTGCGGCAACAGAGAAGGGCCAAGGACCGGCTGCATCTGTGCTTTGTGCCCGGGTGTGTGTCCCTGTCTCATGTAACATTAAGAACTCTGTGAGCTAGACATGATTACCCCAGTTATGTCAGAGGAAGGAGGCCGTACAGCTAAAAAAAAGGGTGGACGCATAACAGGAACCCAAGCCCGGCCAACTCCAGATAGCGGTCTCTCCCGCAGAATGCCGTCCTCCTGATCGGTCACCGCCTCCACATCTCAGGCTCATGCCAGGTCCTCTAGCAGGTGTGCCCCCTGAGCCACAGGAGCCGGGAGCCAATTTGAGATGGGTCTTTAGGGCTGGGGCAGCATCCCCACCTGGGCCTGTGCTCCCCCACCTCCTGACCTCCTCCAAGGGCGGTGGGTGCTGGGAGTGGTGGGGGACCGAGGTGGGGACGGCTTCCTTAGTTGCTCTTCTGTCCCCTGTCCAGGTTGGTGAAATCAAGGCCCACGCGGCCGAGTGGAAGGCCAACGTGACGGCCGAGTTCCGGGAGACGCGGCGGCGGCTCAGCGTGGAGATCCACGACAAGCTGCAGCGGGCGGCCACCATCCGCAGCATGGAGCGCCGGCGCCTGGGCCTGGACCAGAGGGCCCACTCGCTGGACATGCTGTCGCCGGAGAAGCGCTCAGTCTTCGCCGCCCTGGACACGGGCCGCTTCAAGGCCTCGTCCCAGGAGAGCATCAACAACCGGCCCAACAACCTGCGTCTCAAGGGCTCCGAGCAGCTGAACAAACACGGGCAGGGAGCCTCTGAGGACAACATCATCAACAAGTTCGGATCCACCTCCAGACTCACCAAGAGGAAAAACAAGGACCTCAAAAAGACCTTGCCCGAGGACGTTCACAAAATCTACAAGACCTTCCGGAATTACTCCCTGGACGAAGAGAAGAAGGAGGAGGAGACGGAGAAGATGTGCAACTCGGACCACTCCAGCACGGCCATGCTGACCGAGTGCATCCAGCAGCAGGCGGGCGTGGAGAACGGGATGGTCCCCACGGACACCAAAGACAGGGAACTCGAGAACAACGCATTACTTGAAGACAGAAACTAAATGCTGAGGACCTTGGACTTGACCAAGTGTTGTGTTTTTTGTTTGTTTGTTTGTTTTTGTTTTTTTATATTCACCCTGAGACACGTGCCTTAAAACAGACTTCTCGGTAGTCCGAAATTACATAGCATTGAAGAAAAATTTCACTGTGCCATAAACGACGGAGAAAGAGCGCTCTGCCAAAAGGAATCAAAGAACACGGACCGCACTTCCGTCAGGGGCCGCAGGACACGCCGGGAGTGTTTGCACACGCAGGAGGTCGTGGCCACGGAAGTTAAGGGCGGGTATGGGACGGTGCTGTGCCCCCTGAGCGGCGCCGCCCGGGCCTGGCATGGAGAAAGGGCAGCTATTCCTCAGACCAGCCTTCTGAAAGGAACACGTGTGGCTTTTACACGGAGCCTCGTTTCCTGAACCTACCGTTAGAGATATGCACACACACAGAAGGGGACCGGATGGGGGCTGAACTAGTACCTGTAATGAGGGTTCGAGTTGACATTGTGGCATGTTGCTCTGAGCTTGAATTTTGATACACAGCCTCAGTGCACAGCTAGTCTTTCTGAGCTCCAAGCGAATGTCCGTGGGACCCGGGAGCATGTGGACTTTGTGAGAAACAGATCAGAGCACACATATTAAAAGGTGCAATTGCTTTCCTCATTACAAAAGAAAAAAAAAATCACAAATGCATCACACTGTGGATATCACCTTAACCAAGGACAGAAGCCTATTGAATTTTGTCTCTCGACAAATGAAGAATGAACTTGCAAGCTTTGGCGAAAACTCAACCTCATTCGCTGCATGGTTACGGGCAAAAATCATGCATTTTCCTCAGTGGGTGCAGTGGTGAAAATAAACTGCTTTTGAAATGTCCATTTCACTTTTCTAGTGGAACTTCGGTTGTAACTTGTTTTGATAAGAGGGGGGGAAAAACCAAAACGATTGCCTTGCATGATGCCAGTGGCTTGCTGTTCTGTCTAGCTGATCCTAAATTTTTATAAAAATAGACATCCTGCATGTCTGAGACATACCAAGGAGGACCACGGCATCATTCCATCTCAGGGCTTTTTGTCCCTTTGGGTGTCTTAAGGTAGACATAGTGACGAGGTCCAATCTTGCTATCTCCAAACAAAAGAAAGAATCCCCCCAACCAACTCTTGTACAAGAAAATTGAATTGTTTTAATTGCTTGCAGCTTAAGTGCCATTAATGCCGTTTAAAAACTAATGCTTAAAAGAAGTATTTACAACATTCCACGTTTATGTTTGGGTGTTCCTTATTTTGAAGGCATCACTTCTTTTCCTTACTTGTTTCTTTGTCTTACACCTGCTGTTCACTAAAGTTGGAACACCAGGGTGATTAATGGTTTCAATGCAAACAATAGCAACATGATTGTTGCGTGAGGTTAGAATGGCCCCCGGGAAGGAGAGTGGGGGAGGGGCCAGTCATAGGTTTTGAAAAAATTTTAAATGGATTTTTTGAAATCAGAAAGGGCAAATTATGTGCTAGGTCTCACCATCCTGTGTGTGCCTCAGCCCCTCATGTAATTGGCTGACCATGGATGGTTCAGACTTAGCTGTTTGGCCCATGCTTTTAAGCATTTGGACCTGGCAACCCCCAGAAAGTTGCTGGTGATGGGCTTCCCAATCTCAGCGCCACCTCTTGGGGATTTCACATGACTAACACATGGAGGGGATTGATCAAAAGACCACAGGATTAGCGGAGACTTCGGACTTCTGGGGAAAATGATACCCACCACATCCTTGACCACTGGTACCAGGGCAGACCTCTTCCCGCCCACTTCCCAAAATTGCACAGCTCTCCCTCGCCTGGAGCACATGTAGCCCCACCAGCCCCTCCCTCAACTTCTAGGCTCTAGTTAAAGTTCTGGCATTGCTTTTGGGAAGGAGCCAAATAAGAAGCAGCTTTCATGAGACCCTTCCTGTCCAAGGTAGACTTGGGTTAATGCCTCCACCGGGCTGGAGCTGTGGCTCACTGGTGACATCCTGTGTCCATATATTAACAGACACGGAAACGACCTTTACACAGGTGTGGGCGCTGGCTCTCACTGTGAGAGCCCTTCCAGCCTGACAAAATGTGTTTTGATTGGTAGATCTCTGGGACTTTCTCTATTCCTCTGATAAGTTAAAAGCTTCCTGATTAAACTATCCATCCACTCATGCATTTGCGTTTCTGCCCTGTACTTCTCTGTAGCAGTGTGTTAAAAACTCTAGACCCCACAGACAAATCTGGCCAAGAGGCTTCCTTGTCATTTATCCAGTGGTTTCCATGGGCCAGACACTAGATTAGGCACTTTATGGGTGTTAGCTGACTGAAATCTCATAGCAACACTCTACGGGAAGTGTTTGCAAACCCATTACACAGATGAGGGCACGGAGGCTCAGGGAAGCTGAGTAACTTACCCAACGCCACACAGCAAGAAGGTGGTAGAGCTCGTCTTTAAAGGCTGTCTGACCAAAGTCTGCTTTTGACTTTGCTGTAATGTCCACGTCATGCACTCTTGTGTGTATGTGTGTGTATGTGTATGTGTGTGTTTGTGTGTCTTTCTAGTTTCATGGACAGGGTGTACGGAGGTGGGGAGATCACTATTACTAAGAGCGTACAAGGTCTTTGTGTAATCATGACCTAAAGCGTTACCCTTACAGATACTTATACATTATTTTGGTTTGGGTTTTGGGAATGCTGTCTGTGGTGCCCTTTCTGTATTGTTAAAAAAATGCCCTTTGAAAGCACTCTTTTGCACTTTACTTGCTTACCTTGCAGGAACTACGCTTATAGCAGGAATAAAACAATTCAAAGCACGAAGCTGCACATTCTACCAAATGGAACAGGTGTTGGTGTGTGCGTAGACGCTTCCCCAAAGGGGTCAAATCACAGTAGTACAGAGGGCTCAAAAACAGCCCTCGGCTGAGAGTGGGAAAAAACCCAGTACAACCTGTTCCCTGAATACAGTGGGGCCCAAAGCCCTGGGGAATGAAATCCAAGAAAAGCCCTCCCTCTATGGAGAGTGCGCCATTAAATATGGGCAGTATTGGGCAAAGTAGAGCATACTCTCCAAAGTCTGAGAAGCTGAGAGGGAGTAAGAGCTTGGGCTCCTCTTAGTGTGTACAGGCTAAGATTTGGGGGAGGCGAGTCGTGATGGAAGTGGTGTGAGCGGTACCCTTTGAAGATGGGACCAAACAGCACATAGCAAATAGCACGTACCGAAGCTGCTGCAGATTCTAAACACCAATCAGCGCCCCCCTGCCCCTCCAACCCGCACTCCCTACGCCTCCGTAAAGCTGGCGTCAGCGCCTTGATTTTGCACATGGGAAGAGCGCGTGTTCAGTATCTTCTGTGTCTTCAGTGGGTGGTGTCTTTTGCCTCACCTGGTAATTGGGTCCTGATTTTTTCTTTCCTAACAGATCTGGAGGTTTGCTGGGGACAGTGGGGGGGGGGGGGATCATTTGGAGACGGTAGCTCCATACCCAGTCCTAACTCAATAGTGAATTCTAGAAACTTACCACTGTCAGGGGAGGGCCCTAATGTGTGTGCGGGTAGGGATGTCCCTGACCTGTAGGTGAGGTGACTGGGACTGTTTGTCTGTGTTTCCCTGTCCCAGCCTGTGAGCGTGGACACCTCTGTCCCCGTGCTTCTCTGTTACCTCATCAGGACATCAAGGGAATTCAACACAGATAATCATCAAGGCCCCTTTTAGTTCTGCAGTTCTCTGACCAAACCTCCCTGGTCTACGAGTTTGTTAAATTCATTAAGAATGGTATTAGCCGTGTTTGTGTATACTGACACACGGGCCCCCTTATTTTAGGCTAAGAGTCTCCTGCCCTTTGGGATTTGTTTTCTGGGTAATTGATGGAGACCAGATGTATTTGGGAGCCTGGTGTCTGAATTAGAATCGTGCCCTGTGTAGGCTCACTCTATACTCCCTTACAACATCCTGTCACCTGGAGGACTCAGGCTATGCGGGCATTTTTTGCATGGTGTTAAGATTGTTTAAAGAACTTTAAAGCTGTTGCTATTTGCAGTCAATTGTGATAAAAGTTCCCTTTGATTACTTCATGAATTTATATAATATAGACAGATACCTGCCACACACACACACACACACACACACACACACACACACACGCTGGAAATGGCTGCTTTGGGGTCTAATGGGACCATTCGATGTTGAAAGTCCTAGTTGTGCTAGATGTTAGCAAACCACTCCCTTACCTCCCCCTGAGAGGATTTATTTGTGTGCTTGGGTTTGGGGGATTAGTGAGAATGTGACCAGAATTTGGGCGGGGCAGATTTATTCTCATTGGATTGGGTAAGATTGTAGACCATTCAATGTATACCATGGTTTCCGAACCATAGGAAAGGCATAGGAAAACACACAAATGTGCAGAGACTCTCTAAAGAAATGAGGAAAAACCGGCTTTGCTTCTCCTGTCTCTGCTTTCTGCATCCTGCTCGGGTTTCAAGCGGAGGTTTATTATTTCTGTTACGATGCGCCTGTGTGCAAAGACCATGGCTGTGTCAGCGGAGGGAGCTTTCATGGGTAGAGTGTAAGAGCTCAATAGCAACGGCCTTAAAATATAAAAATGGGAAACTCTCTGAAACAAAGGTGACTTTGGCATTGCAGATCCTGTTAATTCTACCTACGGAAACTTTGGAATAGCATGTTGGTTACGTGGCTAGAAAGCGTTGGTTACTGGCTGTCCTGGCATGATAAACCAGCAGCCATCCATGCAAACCTCACTCCTCCCACGGCGGTCCCTAGGTCACATGACATTGGCACGGTGGCACTGAGGAGAACTAACAAGTGTCTTTGATTTTACAGAAAGCAATTATCATTTTCACAGGTGCCTAAGAGATTTGAAATCTACCTTCTGTTATCGTTTCTTAAGTGAAAAATCTCGAATAGTTCCTTGTGCATTAAAAACAAAACAAAACAAAACCATCCTTGAGAGGACTCCGCTCCATTGATACGGCAGACTGGTGTTACAGAGGGTGATTGGGAAAACCTCTCCTTTGCCATCAGGGCACCGAGGTTGAAGGAAGAAGGTACAGTGGTGCCTAGAAGCGTTATGCAAACCAACCCACATGCCAGCCTCCAGCCTCTTCCCCATCCCAGACTCCCAGGCAGGGGCCCCAGCGATGACGATAAACCCATGTGTGGAGGTGTTTTACCTGTTTTTCTCTCTGTAGGATTTCATGGTGCTTTAAAAAAAAAAAAAAAAGGCGTTTTACAGAAAATAATGCGGGGTGGGGGGGAGGAGGGAATTTCGTAATGTTCTTAGGAAAAGTACAAGAGCAAATTTGCTTGTAACGTTTCAGTGAGCTCTGCTGCTATTGTCTTTATTTGATGACGATGTAACTTTTTTTTTTCAATGATGCAGAAAATTGCAACAAAGACCTTCTGGAAGATCTGACCCAATGTCTCTCCTGTTTTCCTTTCTTTTGTGGGGCCAAGCATGGTTCACAGTGGCTGGGCGGGGGGAGCTACTCTCACTTCTGGGGACTGGTTTCTTGCCTGGCTGAGAACCCACTTATGCAAGTGCATCAGCAACAGGCCAGAGCCCATGGAAGCCTGTTGTCTTGCAGGTGGAGGAGCCCGATGTGTGTTTGATACAGATTATAAGCTCCTCAGGGCAGGAATTTGGCCTTTGATTTCCATTTCCAGTGCTGAGCATGGTGCTCCATACAACAGACACACTCAAATTATTGGTAGAGTAATTTTAATAGACATATTGATAGCCCATTTTCATCCTTCAAGACAGATTTAATCTTTTCAAGACTTGGAAGTCATT